TGCATTACTAGTTTACAGCGGTTTCCTAGTTCGGATAATAGTGTCCGTATGCTTGGTAATTTTCCAGACTGGAGTGACTGAAGTACTGCTTTTGCATACATACATACATACATACATACATACATACATACATACATACATACATACATACATACATACATACATACATACATACATACATACATACATACATACATACATACATACATACATACATACATACATACATACATACATACATACATACATACATACATACATACATACATACATACATACATACATACATACATACATACATACATACATACATACATACATACATACATACATACATACATACATACATACATACATACATACATACATACATACATACATACATACATACATACATACATACATACATACATACATACATACATACATACATACATACATACATACATACATACATACATACATACATACATACATACATACATACATACATACATACATACATACATACATACATACATACATACATACATACATACATACATACATACATACATACATACATACATACATACATACATACATACATACATACATACATACATACATACATACATACATACATACATACATACATACATACATACATACATACATACATACATACATACATACATACATACATACATACATACATACATACATACATACATACATACATACATACATACATACATACATACATACATACATACATACATACATACATACATACATACATACATACATACATACATACATACATACATACATACATACATACATACATACATACATACATACATACATACATAAATACATACATACATACATACATACATACATACATACATACATACATACATACATACATACATACATACATACATACATACATACATACATACATACATACATACATACATACATACATACATACATACATACATACATACATACATACATACATACATACATACATACATACATACATACATACATACATACATACATACATACATACATACATACATACATACATACATACATACATACATACATACATACATACATACATACATACATACATACATACATACATACATACATACATACATACATACATACATACATATACTGTTCAAAAAAAGAAACGCATAGTTATTTGATTAGTTTGTAAATAAAATACCGTACTCAGGTATGTGAAAAGCAAACAACTGTTGTTTACCGTGTCCAGTGGACATGTGGACGTGAATTGGGTAGGCTTTTGTAATCGTTACAACGCAGAGGTCAAATATTTTAAAGACCCTTTTTGTGAGCATAGCTCACAATTTGCGGTAAACACCATTCACTGTCTACGCAATTGAACCCTATAAAAGGATAACGCTACACTAAAACGATCAGTTCATTATCAAGCAGTAACGAATGGGGCCTCTATCAATAAATTTAAGGATTATCGCTATTGGCCGATTGCAGGCAGGAGAAAGTCAATGTCAGGTTGCCAGGCATCTAAACGTGCATCAGAGTACCATCAGTCGACTTTTGCAGCAGTTCAAAGCCACTGGTTTAGTTGAAGACCGACATCGCAGTGGACGATCCAGAATGAAAAAAGCAGCGGAGAATCGCTTTATTCGGCTTCGTTACTACCTCAGAGACAGGTTTACAACAGCTTCCTAAACTGCACAGGCATTGCCTCCAGGACGTCATGTGTCTGATAAAACTGATCGGAACAGATTGCATGATGTTGGACTTTGGGTTCGACGATCACACCGAGGACCTGTCCTTACGCGTCGCCACCGCCAAAATCGACTTCTTTGAGCCAACCAACTTCATCCCGGGGCAAGGACAATCAGTGGAGCGTATGAGACGAAATGAAGGTTTGGCTCTTCTTCTTCTTCTTCTTTCGTTCGCCTGAAATAAGTTGTCTATATCGGCAGTTTTGTCTTTTGTATAAATTTCACTGTTGTTGTTAATTCATTCAGTGGTCCATAGAGTTTACGTTCCACTGTTGTTCTTTCTGGCCAAAAGGTTTGCCTTAATGTGTCAAAATCGATGCAGTCCCGGAGTACATGCTCTGCTGTCTGGGGCACATTTCCACAGGTGCACATGGCTGATACACCTATCTTGAATTTTGTGTACATGTGGTTACGTAATCGGTTATGCCCTGTTCTGAGGCGGAGGATAATGACTTGTTCTGGTCTGTCCATAATAAAATAGTCGTCTTGTGCTGGGGCTGGTGGTTTCCTGATCGATTTAATGATTATTTTCTTTTGGTGATATGTGACTGGTACACCCGGCTGCTCTTTTGTCGCACGTTTCCCTGCCAGTTGATCAGCTTTCTCATTTCCAGGCACTCCACAATTACGACTCTTCGCTGAAGGCTGAGTTGTGTCAGCAGTGTTTGCAATTCTGATAGTTTCCTAGACTGGAGTGCTTCAAGTACTGATTTAGCATCTGTCAGCATGACCACATACTGTGAGCCAAGATTGGTATTTAGCAGTTTCTCTGTTGCTATCTTGATAGCCTGGGTTTCTGCATCATAGTTATGGCAGTACTTCCCGGTTGGTACGCTGGACTTATCCCTAGTACCATCTGGGAATTCGATGTACACTCCAGCGCCACCATTTCTAACTGCCCTTTCTGCTGACCCATCTGTAAAGACTCTGACCCATTGTTCTTGTGGGAATTCTTCATCAATATAACTGAGGGTGGCCATTCTTCGTTGTACACTACCTTGCTCTTTCTTGTCAAATATCCCTTTCACATTTGTCTGGATTTGTACCTTTAGTTTACATTGTTCTCTCCATGGGGTTTGTTCCGGAATACTTTTAGTAGGTTTAGCTCAAAATGGTGTTGATGAAGCTCTGCTGCACTGTGGTGGAGGTGTAATGTTGTGGGGAATGATCAGTTAATACCGAAGGAGTCAATTGGTGCACATTGAAGGAACCTTGATCGCGCAACGATACGTCCATGAAATTATTCGACATTTCCAGATATCTTTTTCAACAGGACAACGCCAGACCCCATTCTGCACAGTTGACCGCGCAATTCCTGGCTGCCAATAACATTCAAACCCTTCCCTGGTCATCCCTTGTCTTCAAACATGTCCGATTGAGCAATTGTGGGATGAGCTGCAAAGACGTGTTTGTCGCCGAAACGTTGCTCCAGCCAATGGTCGAAATCTGTCCCAGGCACTCCAGGAAGAGTGGGCAGACATCCCACAGGCCCACATCAGACATCTGATCACATCCATGCCCAGGAGATGCTAGTCACTGATCCACACAAGAGGCCACACATCAGACATCTGATCATATCCATGCCCAGGAGATGCTAGTCACTGATCCACGCAAGAGGAGGCCACACATCAGACATCTGATCACATCCATGCCCAGGAGATGCCAGTCAATGATCCACACAAGAGGAGGCCACACATCAGACATCTGATCATATCCATGCCCAGGAGATGCCAGTCACTGATCCACACAAGAGGCCACACATCAGACATCTGATCACATCCATGCCCAGGAGATGCCAGTCAATGATCCACACAAGATGAGGCCACACATCAGACATCTGATCATATCCATGCCCAGGAGATGCCAGTCAATGATCCGCACAAGAGGAGGCCACACATCAGACATCTGATCATATCCATGCCCAGGAGATGCTAGTCACTGATCCACATAAGAGGAGGCCACACATCAGACATCTGATCACATTCATGCCCAGGAGATGCCAGTCAATGATCCACACAAGAGGAGGCCACACATCAGACATCTGATCACATCCATGCCCAGGAGATGCCAGTCAATGATCCGCACAAGAGGAGGCCACACACCTTACTAACTAACGGAAAAGGCCTACGCTTAAAAACTATCGTGACCCAGATGCAGAAAATGGTGTCAATTGATTGGTGGAACCTTAAGGTATTCTTGTGTGAAATTTAAGTAATTTCACTTACTGCATTTCAAAGATGCAAAATGTCAAATTTGTGAGTATGTTTGTTCCTTTCAGTAACTATGCGTTTCTTGTTTTGAACAGTATATTAAATGCTCGCGCATGTGTGTGCGAGAGAGAGAGAGAGAGAGAGGGAGAGAGAGAGAGAGAGAGAGAGAGAGAGAGAGAGAGAGAGAGACTATGTAAAAAAGATGTATGTTATTGATGGCAAGTCACTTTAAATGCCCAGATTAGTTTGGGGGCGCTATGCTGGTGGAGCCTCAAGGCAAATGCCCAGATTAATTTGGGGCGCTATGCTGGTGGAGCCTTGGGGCAAATATCCAGATTAGTTTGGGGGCGCTATGCTGGTGGAGCCTTGGGGCAAATACCCAGATTAGTTTAGGGGCGCTTTTCTGGAGGAGCCCCTGGCGCTATGCTGGTGGAGCCCCGGGGCAAATACCCAGATTAGTTTGGGGGCGCTAAGCTGGTGGAGCCCCGGCGTACATGCGTTAAGACGGTCATGATTAGGGGACACTACTGTTCGTGTTACCTCCCCGTGTGGGTTCCGGGGTCCCATTATGGGAGAAACAAGATAAGACCCACTGCTTCCCAGCAAGTATGTCGTTGGAGCCGACTAACTGGGGACTTCCTTCGAAGTCTGAATGTATCTGCCCGAGAGGGAAGGAAAAACTACACACAAGTAAGTCAGTAAAACTGATGTACACGCAAAACTCAAGCCCTGGCACAAAGCCAAAGTCCAAAGGGACGAAACAACTAGGACAACCAGGACTTTCAGCCGGAGCTTACAGCCGGTCAACAAAGAAGAAGCAGAAAAAGAAGATTGTGTTACCCAGTATGTATTTCGTTTCGTTGCGAATGTTAAAAATGTATAATTATTTTGTTGCTTCCACAGGCGACCGTTTTTGTATCACAAGCAGCAAAAAGTAAACGATCCAGCGTGATCCCCAAACATCCGCTCCGCTACATCGTGTAGTCCGACAGTCCTCGACACCAACTGACTCACCATGTCGGGCAAATCTGCCGCTAAAGCGGTCCAGTTCGCTTCTAACTTGGCACAGTTGCAGAATTTGATGAAGAGAGACCCACAGTCTTACAAAGAGGAAGTAAGTCAACTCAGTGTCGCTGCCTAAATAAATCGTCGTTTGTATTATTGCAACATTATAGTGGCTCTCCTTTAAATTACGGCCGGTTAGTCGGAGTTCTGTCCCCTTGCTGCAGTGCAATTACGGAGTGGAAAGGGAACGAAACAAATGACATCATTACTGTGTGTTGGCGATAGACAGCGTGCACTGCTATAATCATACGGTTTGGGTTTAGGTTAGGGGTAGGGTGTGGGTAAGGGTTACGGTTAGTGTCGCCGCATCTCGTCTTCGCACAAACTCAAAGTAGCAGCCCAAACCCTAAACCTAACCCAAACCCTAACCGTATAATGTAGCTACTTCAGTAAAATTTTTAAAATGCCTTCTACACCAATAAAACCAGCACAGTTAGATAGCTGTAAACAATTTCTTTCCAACGGTACCTCATTTAGGCTTGTATGTCATTTCTGAGCTGAGATATGTAGGTTTTGTGGAGATGAGATGTAAGAAACAGCCGCTAAAACTTGTGACCCAGAAACAAGAAGTTTTTTACTGCGCAACCTACTGCGCAGTTCTGTATCGGCTTTGTTTACATTGGACTGTCATTGGACAAGATGGCAGGCAATGAGACTCAGCCACTGGCTGAGCTAGCGATTGCCTGAAAAATGTCACTGTACATCTACCTAGCCACCGTCCAGAAAGAAATTTCATACACAAATGTAAAATTGGACGGAGAATTCAAATATACCCAGCAATACCAGGACGAGTAACAGTTAAAGCCTAAAGCCAACCTCGAATTTACCGCTATTTTCAATCAAACTGATGACTAACAGAAAAACAGAGGACGGCTGTCGTAGACATGCGCTGTTAATCGGGTTCCCCCACGCTGTTTTCAGCTATTTATAGCTGGTCCAAATTCCCACCAATGGCAAAATTTCATGAGAGATTTGGACCCATACGGAAACCAGCCGAGATTTCCCGAACAAGTTCTGAACGGTTTCCGGGTAACGGAAATTGCCGAAAAGACCGCAAATTGTCGAAACTGTAGTCCCTATATAATGACAGTAGGGCACTGCACGCTGTCTATCGCCAACACACAGTAATTGTGTCACTTGTTTCGTTCCCTCTAATCCACTCCGTAATGCGTCGCAAGAAGCGGTAATTGAACGCGGTCGCTAATTTGAGTCGCAGCGCGGGGTCTGCCAGGCATGTCGACCTCACTTTGTTTTCTGATTCGTGCCTTCTCCACTCCGTAATTACACTGCAGCCAGGGGACAGAACTCCGACTAACCCGCCGTCTACTGTTGTCTACCGGCTGTAGTTTAAAGGAGAGCCATTATAGTTATTTTTAGGGTGACAGTTCAAAGTGTATGATTGATATTCATATTAAAACTATTGTTCTATTGATACTATCAATAAGATTCAATAATAATTAAACAAAAACATGTCAGCTGTCGTCGCATCAGTCTGGCCTTGATATTAAAAAGGTAAGGCAGGTCACTATAGTAGCCAGTTTACTGACTGCCTATGTGGGCACACACCCCACCCCTCTTAAGACCACTAATTTAGTAATACTATCCGTCTGAAAGTTTGACTCAATAACTAGCAATGTTTTTTATTCAAGTTACTCCAACACTTCTAAACTAAAACCAATAAATTCTACTTTTCTACTATTTCCACAAAAACTTAGGTAGCTCACTAAGAATTGGCATACGTGAATGAAGTATCTTCTTCTTCTTTCGTTCAACTGAAATAAGTTGGGCTGCCCTCCGAACTTCTACCCCGGCATGATGGCAGCCAAACAAATATCCTAACAGGGCCTAAGTCCTATTAAAAATAGGTGGACTTCCTTACTGCACACGATAGTAGCAGACGATAATAGCGACCGTTGACACTTTCGAGCCTTTCTACATACAATACTAGCAGACGATACTAGCAATCATTGACAATTTCGAGACACGCAACATTACAGACAATAAAAGTGACATGGCGGGGAGACCTCGCGCTCCGACGCAGATTTGCGTCATTGTTGTCCTCAAAATGTTGTACTTGTTGAGAGTAGCCCTGTAAATGTTGTACTTGTTAAGAGCAGTCCTGTAAACGTTGTAATTGCTGTTGAGAGTAGCCCTGTAAATGTTGTAATTGCTGTTGAGAGTAGCCCTGTAAATCATGTACTTGTTGTTAAGAGTGGCTCTGTGAATGTTGTACTTGCTGTTGAGAGTAGCTCTGTAAATGTTGTACTTGTTGTTAAGAGTAGCTCTGTAAATGTTGTAATTGCTGTTGAGAGTAGCTCTGTAAATGTTGTAATTGCTGTTGAGAGTAGCCCTGTAAATCATGTACTTGTTGTTAAGAGTGGCTCTGTGAATGTTGTACTTGCTGTTGAGAGTAGCTCTGTAAATGTTGTACTTGTTGTTAAGAGTAGCTCTGTAAATGTTGTAATTGCTGTTGAGAGTAGCTCTGTAAATGTTGTACTTGTTGTTAAGAGTAGCTCTGTAAATGTTGTACTTGTTGTTGAGAGTAGCCCTGTAAATGTTGTACTTGTTGTTGAGAGTAGCTCTGTAAATGTTGTACTTGTTGTTGAGAGTAGCCCTGTAAATGTTGTACTTGTTGAGAGTAGCTCTGTAAATGTTGTACTTGCTGTTGAGAGTAGCTCTGTAAATGTTGTACTTGTTGTTAAGAGTAGCTCTGTAAATGTTGTACTTGTTGTTGAGAGTAGCCCTGTAAATGTTGTACTTGTTGTTGAGAGTAGCTCTGTAAATGTTGTACTTGCTGTTGAGAGTAGCCCTGTAAATGTTGTACTTGTTGTTGAGAGTAGCCCTGTAAATGTTGTACTTGTTGAGAGTAGCTCTGTAAATGTTGTACTTGCTGTTGAGAGTAGCTCTGTAAATGTTGTACTTGTTGTTAAGAGTAGCTCTGTAAATGTTGTACTTGTTGTTGAGAGTAGCCCTGTAAATGTTGTACTTGTTGTTGAGAGTAGCTCTGTAAATGTTGTACTTGCTGTTGAGAGTAGCCCTGTAAATGTTGTACTTGTTGTTGAGAGTAGCTCTGTAAATGTTGTACTTGCTGTTGAGAGTAGCTCTGTAAATGTTGTACTTGTTGTGAGTAGCCCTGTAAATGTTGTACTTGTTGTTGAGAGTAGCTCTGTAAATGTTGTACTTGTTGTTGAGAGTAGCTCTGTAAATGTTGTACTTGTTGAGAGTAGCTCTGTAAATGTTGTACTTGTTGAGAGTAGCTCTGTAAATGTTGTACTTGTTGAGAGTAGCTCTGTAAATGTTGTACTTGTTGTTGAGAGTAGCTCTGTAAATGTTGTACTTGTTGAGAGTAGCTCTGTAAATGTTGTACTTGTTGTTAAGAGTAGCTCTGTAAATGTTGTACTTGTTGTTGAGAGTAGCCCTGTAAATGTTGTACTTGTTGTTGAGAGTAGCCCTGTAAATGTTGTACTTGTTGTTGAGAGTAGCCCTGTAAATGTTGTACTTGTTGAGAGTAGCTCTGTAAATGTTGTACTTGTTGAGAGTAGCTCTGTAAATGTTGTACTTGTTGAGAGTAGCTCTGTAAATGTTGTACTTGCTGTTGAGAGTAGCTCTGTAAATGTTGTACTTGTTGAGAGTAGCTCTGTAAATGTTGTACTTGTTGAGAGTAGCTCTGTAAATGTTGTACTTGTTGAGAGTAGCCCTGTAAATGTTGTACTTGTTGTTAAGAGTAGCTCTGTAAATGTTGTACTTGTTGAGAGTAGCTCTGTAAATGTTGTACTTGCTGTTGAGAGTAGCTCTGTAAATGTTGTACTTGTTGTTAAGAGTAGCTCTGTAAATGTTGTACTTGTTGTTGAGAGTAGCCCTGTAAATGTTGTACTTGTTGTTGAGAGTAGCTCTGTAAATGTTGTACTTGCTGTTGAGAGTAGCCCTGTAAATGTTGTACTTGTTGTTGAGAGTAGCTCTGTAAATGTTGTACTTGCTGTTGAGAGTAGCTCTGTAAATGTTGTACTTGTTGAGAGTAGCCCTGTAAATGTTGTACTTGTTGTTGAGAGTAGCTCTGTAAATGTTGTACTTGTTGTTGAGAGTAGCTCTGTAAATGTTGTACTTGTTGAGAGTAGCTCTGTAAATGTTGTACTTGTTGAGAGTAGCTCTGTAAATGTTGTACTTGTTGAGAGTAGCTCTGTAAATGTTGTACTTGTTGTTGAGAGTAGCTCTGTAAATGTTGTACTTGTTGAGAGTAGCTCTGTAAATGTTGTACTTGTTGTTAAGAGTAGCCCTGTAAATGTTGTACTTGTTGTTGAGAGTAGCTCTGTAAATGTTGTACTTGTTGTTGAGAGTAGCCCTGTAAATGTTGTACTTGTTGAGAGTAGCTCTGTAAATGTTGTACTTGTTGAGAGTAGCTCTGTAAATGTTGTACTTGTTGAGAGTAGCTCTGTAAATGTTGTACTTGCTGTTGAGAGTAGCTCTGTAAATGTTGTACTTGTTGTTAAGAGTAGCTCTGTAAATGTTGTACTTGTTGTTGAGAGTAGCCCTGTAAATGTTGTACTTGCTGTTAAGAGTAGCTCTGTAAATGTTGTACTTGTTGTTGAGAGTAGCTCTGTAAATGTTGTACTTGCTGTTGAGAGTAGCTCTGTAAATGTTGTACTTGTTGAGAGTAGCCCTGTAAATGTTGTACTTGTTGAGAGTAGCTCTGTAAATGTTGTACTTGTTGTTAAGAGTAGCTCTGTAAATGTTGTACTTGCTGTTGAGAGTAGCTCTGTAAATGTTGTACTTGTTGAGAGTAGCCCTGTAAATGTTGTACTTGTTGTTGAGAGTAGCTCTGTAAATGTTGTACTTGTTGAGAGTAGCTCTGTAAATGTTGTACTTGTTGAGAGTAGCTCTGTAAATGTTGTACTTGTTGAGAGTAGCTCTGTAAATGTTGTACTTGTTGAGAGTAGCTCTGTAAATGTTGTACTTGTTGTTGAGAGTAGCTCTGTAAATGTTGTACTTGTTGAGAGTAGCTCTGTAAATGTTGTACTTGTTGAGAGTAGCTCTGTAAATGTTGTACTTGTTGAGAGTAGCTCTGTAAATGTTGTACTTGTTGAGAGTAGCTCTGTAAATGTTGTACTTGCTGTTGAGAGTAGCTCTGTAAATGTTGTACTTGCTGTTGAGAGTAGCTCTGTAAATGTTGTACTTGTTGTTAAGAGTAGCTCTGTAAATGTTGTACTTGTTGTTAAGAGTAGCTCTGTAAATGTTGTACTTGTTGTTGAGAGTAGCCCTGTAAATGTTGTACTTGTTGTTGAGAGTAGCTCTGTAAATGTTGTACTTGTTGTTAAGAGTAGCTCTGTAAATGTTGTAATTGCTGTTGAGAGTAGCCCTGTAAATGTTGTACTTGTTGTTGAGAGTAGCTCTGTAAATGTTGTACTTGTTGTTGAGAGTAGCCCTGTAAATGTTGTACTTGTTGAGAGTAGCTCTGTAAATGTTGTACTTGTTGTTGAGAGTAGCCCTGTAAATGTTGTACTTGTTGAGAGTAGCTCTGTAAATGTTGTACTTGCTGTTGAGAGTAGCCCTGTAAATGTTGTACTTGTTGAGAGTAGCTCTGTAAATGTTGTACTTGTTGTTGAGAGTAGCTCTGTAAATGTTGTACTTGTTGAGAGTAGCTCTGTAAATGTTGTACTTGTTGTTGAGAGTAGCCCTGTAAATGTTGTACTTGTTGAGAGTAGCTCTGTAAATGTTGTACTTGCTGTTGAGAGTAGCCCTGTAAATGTTGTACTTGTTGAGAGTAGCTCTGTAAATGTTGTATTTGTTGAGAGTAGCTCTGTAAATGTTGTACTTGTTAAGAGTAGCTCTGTAAATGTTGTACTTGCTGTTGAGAGTAGCCCTGTAAATGTTGTACTTGTTGTTGAGAGTAGCTCTGTAAATGTTGTACTTGTTGTTGAGAGTAGCCCTGTAAATGTTGTACTTGTTGTTGAGAGTAGCTCTGTAAATGTTGTACTTGTTGAGAGTAGCTCTGTAAATGTTGTACTTGCTGTTGAGAGTAGCTCTGTAAATGTTGTACTTGTTGTTAAGAGTAGCTCTGTAAATGTTGTACTTGTTGTTGAGAGTAGCCCTGTAAATGTTGTACTTGTTGTTGAGAGTAGCTCTGTAAATGTTGTACTTGTTGTTGAGAGTAGCTCTGTAAATGTTGTACTTGTTGTTGAGAGTAGCTCTGTAAATGTTGTACTTGTTGTTGAGAGTAGCCCTGTAAATGTTGTACTTGTTGTTGAGAGTAGCTCTGTAAATGTTGTACTTGTTGTTGAGAGTAGCCCTGTAAATGTTGTACTTGTTGTTGAGAGTAGCTCTGTAAATGTTGTACATGTTGTTGAGAGTAGCTCTGTAAATGTTGTACTTGTTGAGAGTAGCTCTGTAAATGTTGTACTTGTTGTTGAGAGTAGCTCTGTAAATGTTGTACTTGTTGAGAGTAGCTCTGTAAATGTTGTACTTGTTGTTGAGAGTAGCTCTGTAAATGTTGTACTTGTTGAGAGTAGCTCTGTAAATGTTGTACTTGTTGTTGAGAGTAGCTCTGTAAATGTTGTACTTGTTGTTGAGAGTAGCTCTGTAAATGTTGTACTTGTTGAGAGTAGCTCTGTAAATGTTGTACTTGTTGAGAGTAGCTCTGTAAATGTTGTACTTGTTGTTGAGAGTAGCTTTGTAAATGTTGTACTTGTTGTTGAGAGTAGCTCTGTAAATGTTGTACTTGTTGAGAGTAGCTCTGTAAATGTTGTACTTGTTGTTGAGAGTAGCTCTGTAAATGTTGTACTTGTTGTTGAGAGTAGCCCTGTAAATGTTGTACTTGTTGTTGAGAGTAGCTCTGTAAATGTTGTACTTGTTGAGAGTAGCTCTGTAAATGTTGTACTTGTTGTTGAGAGTAGCTCTGTAAATGTTGTACTTGTTGTTGAGAGTAGCCCTGTAAATGTTGTACTTGTTGTTGAGAGTAGCTCTGTAAATGTTGTACTTGTTGTTGAGAGTAGCTCTGTAAATGTTGTACTTGTTGTTGAGAGTAGCCCTGTAAATGTTGTACTTGTTGTTGAGAGTAGCTCTGTAAATGTTGTACTTGTTGTTGAGAGTAGCCCTGTAAATGTTGTACTTGTTGTTGAGAGTAGCTCTGTAAATGTTGTACTTGTTGTTGAGAGTAGCCCTGTAAATGTTGTACTTGTTGTTGAGAGTAGCCCTGTAAATGTTGTACTTGTTGAGAGTAGCTCTGTAAATGTTGTACTTGTTGTTGAGAGTAGCCCTGTAAATGTTGTACTTGTTGTTGAGAGTAGCTCTGTAAATGTTGTACTTGTTGTTGAGAGTAGCTCTGTAAATGTTGTACTTGTTGTTGAGAGTAGCTCTGTAAATGTTGTACTTGTTGAGAGTATCCCTGTGAATGTTGTGTGGAGAGTTTATTGGTGTACTCACAACGTTATCATGGTGTTACAGTTTGTGAAACAATGGCAGTACTATCACAACTTGATGCAGACGTTCCAACTTCAGCCGTCCAAATATGATGAGAAACTAGACGAGATGATTACTTTCTTATCACAGGTAATGTACGGGTGTTGTTGTAACAGTGGATAGGTCACACAAGTAAAGTAAGGGTGTTGTTATGACAGTATATATGTCACACAGGTAATGTAGGGATGTTGTTGTTGTAACAGTGGATAGGTCACACAGGTAAAGTAGGGGTGTTGTTATGACAGTGGATGTCACACAGGTAATGTAGGGATATTGTCATAAGGTGTCATAAGCTCTTTGTGGTAAAGAAAAGAGATAGATGCATAATTCTTTCTAATGGATTGTCCCTGTTATATGAACTAGATGGCAGCACCCTTTCCATATGGGTTTGGGTTCGTTATGGAAAACACACTGCTTCTCTCTCTTTTCTCAGAGACCCTTCCACAATTTGGTCAGAGACCCTCCCACAATTTAGTAAACCCCCAAATGTGTTTACTAGTATTGATGGAGGAACACTTCTGCAAAACCACAGTGCATAACTACGGTTAAAACTTCCACAGTGCACAACTACAGTTAACACACCCAGAGGCAATGTTACTAATTCAAACATTTAACTCTTTGAGTCCCAGGGGTTTAGCATCACAGGCCCAGGAGGTAGTAAAAAGAAAGTAATAAAATTGGCGCATCATGCACTCATTGGGCTTCTAGGTAGGAACCTCTGAACGTATGATGCGTTCCTGGGGACTCGAAGAGTTAATGACCATAAAACTAGAGCAAGGGGGGAACATTCTACTACTGAAGTGCAGTTATAGTGCCAGTGCCCTATGTTGACACACTTACTGTGTTGTTGACACACTTACTGTGTTGTTGACACACTTACTGTGTTGTTGACACACTTACTGTGTTGTTGACACACTTACTGTGAATAATAAATTGAGCTGGGTCACAGTTTAACAACGTTGGTCCATATGAATAATTATGCATCATTACTGTTAGTATCCACTGGGACACTGACCTCATGCTTGAAAACAGCCTGGCAGGTTAGGTGGCACACTTGAAGTCAGCTCAGTATGGATAAAGAGTGACTGTGGTCTTTCTGGTGTAGCTTTGTCATTCCCCCAAGGGTGTTGCCATCTCTCCATGCATGACAAGCAAGGATATTCTTCAGATAGGAATTGGGTTCACTAAGTGTAGGCATATGGCTAACATAGTCCCCCCTGTGGAACTTACATAGACTCAAGGCTCTACACACAGCATATTGAGCAGGCAGTGAAGGGTCAACAGGGCAACCAACCAATAGAGGCAACATTGATGCCTGTAACAAACACAGACTGGGTAGTATCCCTGCCTTGTCCCACAGGGATTAGAGAAACGGAACCAGTGATCAGATTGGGTATTTCAGCCATCACCAGAAGACAGGATCTCCCTGTTTCGGTTCCATTTACTCCCGCTGTGTTGGGAAAATAACGGGCGGACAGGCTGGCTGGCTCTGCACAACTTGGTGAAATAAAGATGCATGATAAAGCAGGTGTGGTCCAGGCTTTTGGACGGACATGTAGTTTGCAGGAGCAAATGGATCATCACAGTCTGGTGAGAGTGATGCAGTAAGCGAATGAACACATTGTCAAGGAGTGCGGAGAGTGATGCAGCAAGCGAATGAACACATTGTCAAGGAGTGCGGAGAGTGATGCAGCAAGCGAATGAACACATTGTCAAGGAGTGCGGAGAGTGATGCAGCAAGCGAATGAACACATTGTCAAGGAGTGTGGAGAGTGATGCAGCAAGCGAATGAACACATTGTCAAGGAGTGCGGAGAGTGATGCAGCAAGCGAATGAACACATTGTCAAGGAGTGCGGAGAGTGATGAGGTTTGGTGCTCAGAGCAAAGATAAGACAGACTGCTGCTGGCACCATTGGTACTAGCTGCTGAAAATAAGGACAGAGTGCTGATATTAATGCCCCAGATGCTGTGGTAAGGGATTGTAACATTAGACATATCACGTGGGTAAGGTAGGGGATATTGTAGCATTAGATGTGTCACACAGGTAATTAAGGGGATTGTAGTATTAGGTTATCACAGGGGTAATAATATATATATAATTGTGTTGTGGCATTAGGTGTAAAGTGTATGCATGAATAGACATTTGTGTGCATTCATGAGGTCTGCAGCCATATGTCCCGCGTACTCAAATAACACCCAGTTTGTGACTGTCTCAGGTGAGCCACTGTTACAAGGAAGAGGTCTCTGAGCTACCAGAGCAGTTGAGCAACATCCTCAAGAACCACAGCACCATCTTGGACAGAACCATGAGGATGGTGAGTTCAGCGGCTGGGAGTCTGTTTTTGTGAAAACACTTTTTAATTATGATGCTGTCATACTGCCCTCATTGATATCTCTTGCTTCCCCATTTTTTTAGAGTTTAGGCTACTCTTGTCTGGTGAAATCTGGTAGTCTGGTAGTCTTAGTTTCAGCTTCATAGCAAACGGGTCGCCCCATTTTTGCTCCGCTCCTGTGCCAACGAAAAAACACTCAGAATGTTTATCACAGTCCCTTGTGGAAAGATTGACAGACTGCTGTCTCAGCATATCTAGCATACACTTGCATTAAAGCATACGGTAGCCATCCGAAGTGCTAGCACAAACAGTCCAACATTAGAAATGCAGTTCATCATTGATGATAGCAGAACTTGTCGCCAACAGATCAGCAGTTGCCCACGCGATCAATTGTAATCACATCCGGGCACCGCCAACATTGACGACCGGCATAACGCCATTTTCTGAATCTCCAATTCACACCACGTTGGTCACAGTCGAAAAAACATTCCCAATGCAATCCGCAGCTCACAGGGTCACGCCATGCATTCAACTCAGAAGCTGGGCGACGAAACTATATCCAGTCTACAAATGGAGCAAAAATACTTCGGCCACCGTCCGGCAGAAGCAAAAAATGTGCCTCTGCTTCGAACAGCGCCGCTGTCTAGCGTCCATTTTAACCGGAAGTCTGGTGAAATATTTCACCTTTCCCTCTCCCCCCCCCTCTCTCTCTCTCTAACCTCCGGGTGGGTCCAGGGCCCCAATGCAGGGGGACACAAGAGTAGACCCACTGCCTCCCTAACAAAAGCACCTTATGAATTGACTGATTTGGGGATTCCTTGGAATTCGGAGTGCATCTGCCCAAGAGGTAAGAGACAACAGTCTGCATACAGTTGGGCCAGATCTTTAAAATGGGTGTAAAACAGGTCCTTGAAGAAAGCTGACATCTGGAAATGGATCAACAACCAGGAGTTTCCGTCCGGGTTTACAGAACACAAACAAACCACTTCCCTGACTGACTTTAGTGACATGTCTCACCAGTTTTTGCTCACAGAACTTTAGTGAAATGTCTCACCAGTTTTTGCTCACAGAACTTTAGTGAAATGTCTCACCAGTTTTTGCTCACAGAACTTTAGTGAAATGTCTCACCAGTTTTTGCTCACAGAACTTTTGTGAAATGTCTCACCAGTTTTTGCTCACAGAACTTTTGTGAAATGTCTTACCAATTTTCTCATACAGATTTTAGTAAAATGTCTCACCAATTTTCTCAGACTGGTGAAATGTATGATTTATGTTTTTCAACAGACTTTGGTGAAGGCTGTCATTATGTTGAGAAACAAGGAGATGATCTCGGCCGCCCAGGTGCTGCAGCTGTTCTTCAAACTACTGCGATGTGAGGACAAGTTGCTGCGGAAGACCATCTACCAGTATGTTGTCTCTGACATCAAGAGCATCAATGGCCGGCACAAGAACGGCAAGATGAACAGTGTGCTGCAGAACTTTATGTTCACCATGCTGCAGGAGAACAATGGTGTCACCGTGAAGACAGCCTTGGACATCATGATCGAGTTGTACAAGAGAAACATCTGGGCCGACGAGAAGACTGTCAACATGATTGCCTCTGCTTGTTTCTCCAAGATCACGAAGGTCATGGTCGCTGCCATGAAGTTCTTCCTGGGTGAGTCTGTGTGTCTGCTGTCTTCTCTTTCTGTCATCCTCCAGTTTTTGGTCCTGCCAGAGGTGGGTGGATGGAATAGCTGCCATCTTCTCTTTCTGTCATCCTCCAGTTTGTTGGTCCTGCCAGAGGTGGGGGGAATGGAATAGCTGCCATCTTCTCTTTTTGTCATCCTCCAGTTTGTTGGTCCTGCCAGAGGTGGGGGGAATGGAATAGCTGCCATCTTCTCTTTTTGTCATCCTCCAGTTTGTTGGTCCTGCCAGAGGTGGGTGGAATGGAATAGCTGCCATCTTCTCTTTTTGTCATCCTCCAGTTTGTTAACATTATCTGTTCTGTCACACTTGTGGTAGGAAGAACATTAAAAATGTGTCAGTCATGGTGAGATTTGTCGACCTGGTTGGAAAATATTGCTACTTATGTTAGTCATGGTGATATATGTTATTTATTTGTTGACCTGGTTGGGCAGTGTTGCAAGTACCACTTGTGTCAGTCATGGTGAAATATGTTAGTGATTTGTTGACTTGACTGGGAAATGTTGAGTTGCCACCTGTATTAGTCATGGTGATACATTTTAGAGATTTGTTGACCTGGTTGGGCAGTGTTGCAAGTACCACTTGTGTCAGTCATGGTGAAATATGTTAGTGATTTGTTGATCTGGTTGTGAGTTGCCACCTGTATTAGTCATGGTGATACAATTTAAAGATTTGTTGACCAGCTGGACAGTGTTTTTGAGTTGCCACTTGCAGTAACCTGCCTCCACTCCTATTTTTCCCACTTTTGACTTAATTACTTTGTTCTGCATATATCAACTGGCTGTTTCCCCTGCAGGCAAAGATGAACTAGAAGAGAAAGATGACAGCGACTCTGAGGACAATGCCCCAAAGAAGTCTGCAAAAGAACTAGTTCTAGGTCACAGGGTTGCCAAGAAGACCAAGAAACGAAAGAAAAAACTGGAGCGGGCCCTGCAGGCAGTCAATAAACACAAGAAGAAGAAGACGGCTCCTGAAGCTTTTAATTTCTCCGCTCTTCGTCTGATCTATGACCCCCAGGACTTCTGTGAGAAGCTCTTCCAGCAACTGGAGAAGACCACGGAGAGGTTTGAGGTCAAGCTGTTGATGATCGACCTCATCTCTCGGCTGATCGGCATTCACAAACTGCTGCTGCTCAATTTCTACCCATTCATGAAGAGATTTGTCCAGCCACATCAGAGAGAGGTGAGAACATGTTCCCTACTGGTCTGTCTCTGTCTTTTCTCTTGGGAAATGTCTCTCTGTCTTTTCTCTTGGGAAATGTCTCTCTGTCTTTTCTCTTGGAAAACTATTCAGCACACCACATACATGTATATATATCTGTTTTACAGCCAGCACACCCCATATATGTATTATATATGTCTGTTTTACAGCCAGCACACCCCATAAATGTATTATATATGTCTGTTTTACAGACAGTCAGGACACCCCATAAATGTATTATATATGTCTGTTTTACAGACAGTCAGGACACCCCATAAATGTATTATATATGTCTGTTTTACAGACAGTCAGGACACCCCATAAATGTATTATATATGTCTGTTTTACAGACAGTCAGCACACCCCATAAATGTATTATATATATCTGTTTTACAGCCAGCACACCCCATAAATGTATTATATATGTCTATTTTACAGCCAGCACACCCCATTAATCTATATATATAAAAATCAATGTTTGTGTGTTTGGTCTCTATAGACTCGGAAACTACTGAACCGATTTAGCTGAAATTTTCAGGATATGTTTGTTGTGATACCGGATTTTGAACCGTCGTGGTTTGAAATTCAACCTGTCACTGTTAGAGATAGGTGACCACAATTTATGCCATAATATTCGCAACTAATATTTATAACTTTAGTGATTTCTAATTATAGCCACGTTAGTAATTGCGCATGCGCCGCCGTAGTCAAAACGCAAGGCTTCCGCCATTGGCCGGCGAGTTACGTGCAGCCAACGCCTTAGTACATAGAGTAGGTCGAGGTACCGCAAACAAGACTATCTCTATATTTGCCACAATAACCATATTAAACACGATTTCTATTTTCTGTTTTTTTTTTCAAACAACCTTCGATGGGGGGGGGGGCAATCAAGGACTATCTCGACGTCGGCGCAGACATTGACTGCGTCATTAACTTCATTAGACAGGTGCGATTTCCATTGTCTTTCTTTTCTAAAAACCTTTGATGAGGGAGAGGGTACTAGGTGGATTTAGTTGTGGGGGGGGGGATCAATCTCAAATTACGCCACAGCAACGCGTGGCCGGGTACAGCAAGTGTATTATATATTTCTATTTTACCGACAGCCAGCACACCCCATAAATGTATTATATATGTCTGTTTTACAGCCAGCACACCCCATAAATGTATTATATATGTCTGTTTTACAGCCAGCACACCCCATAAATGTATTATATATGTCTGTTTTACAGCCAGCACACCCCATAAATGTATTATATATGTCTGTTTTACAGCCAGCACACCCCATAAATGTATTATATATGTCTGTTTTACAGCCAGCACACCCCATAAATGTATTATATATGTCTGTTTTACAGCCAGCACACCCCATAAATGTATTATATATGTCTGTTTTACAGCCAGCACACCCCATAAATGTATTATATATGTCTGTTTTACAGCCAGCACACCCCATAAATGTATTATATATGTCTGTTTTACAGCCAGCACACCCCATAAATGTATTATATATGTCTGTTTTACAGCCAGCACACCCCATAAATGTATTATATATGTCTGTTTTACAGCCAGCACACCCCATATAAATGTATTATATATGTCTGTTTTACAGCCAGCACACCCCATAAATGTATTATATATGTCTGTTTTACAGCCAGCACACCCCATAAATGTATTATATATGTCTGTTTTACAGCCAGCACACCCCATAAATGTATTATATATGTCTGTTTTACAGCCAGCACACCCCATAAATGTATTATATATGTCTGTTTTACAGACAGCACACCCCATAAATGTATTATATATGTCTGTTTTACAGCCAGCACACCCCATAAATGTATTATATATGTCTGTTTTACAGCCAGCACACCCCATAAATGTATTATATATGTCTGTTTTACCGGCAGTCAGGGCACCTCGTACATGTTTTAAATATGTCTCTTTTACAGTCAGTCAGGGCACCTCGTACATGTTTTAAATATGTCTCTTTTACAGTCAGTCAGCGCACCCTAAACATGTATTATATATGTCTGTTTTACAGTCAGTCAGCACACCTTGTACATGTATTATATATGTCTGTTTTACAGTCAGTCATTGTTGCCTCATATTTCTGAAGGTAATACCTCTGCCGGGATGAGGCCGGGTGTTGATTAGCACACCTGTACTATCAGCACACTTCTACTATCAGCACACCTGTACTATCAGCACACCTGTACTATCAGCACACCTGTACTATCAGCACACCTGTACTATCAGCACACTTCTACTATCAGCACACCTGTACTATCAGCACACCTGTACTATTTGTTTTGCAATCAGAATTGGACTAGGAAACAAGTGGTCAGCAGATCTCATACATATATTGCGCATGTTTCTTTTAAGGCTACTTATTGTATTGTCAGCACTGTTGATCCATCTACAGGTGACGCGTCTGCTGTTGTATCTGGCACAAGGAAGTCACGAAGTTGTGCCCCCTGATGCCATGGAAGAGGTGCTTATGACTATCGCCAACAACTTCATCGCAGAACGTAACTCCAGTGAGGTCATGGCCGTCGGCCTTAACGCTGTGCGGGAAATCTGTTCCAGGTGCCCACTAGCTATGTCAGACGACTTGTTGCAGGACCTGGTCCAGTACAAGGGCCACAGGGATAAAGGTACTTTCTGTGTGAGGTACACGTGCTGTGCGAGGTATACTTGCTGTGTGAGGTATAGGTGTCGTGTGAGGTATACGTGCCATGTGAGGTGTACATGATGTGTGAGGTATACGTGTCATTTGAGGTAAATGTGTCATGTGAATTATATGTGCTGTGTGAGGTAAAGGGGCTTCACAACCAGTGGTATTCCTGACCAGTGCCAAACCAATCCTTAAGTCATTCCAGTCTAGGACATTAACCAGGTATACGGACACTACTCTCTGAACTAGGCAACTGGTGTAAGTGTAAGGTAACTGTAGTGAATACCGTCCCACTGTGGAGTTCTTTGAAATGAAAGAGGCCATGAACTAGCTCAGGAAGGTATGACTGGAGAACAGACTCCTATCAACAGAAGAAGAGAATAATTTAATCAATCAGAAAGCCGCCAAAACCAGCACAGGGTGATTACCATATTATAGACTGAACAGCACACAATCAACGTCAAAAAATTCAGATTGTCGAATTAGCCATGTGCACATGTGTACTTGCATGAAAGATTGCCGAATTCTCCATGTGCACTTGTGGACTTGCGCGAAAGATTGTCGAATTAGCCATGTGCACATGTGGACTTGCGCAAAAGATTGTCAAATCAGCCATGTGGACTTATGCGAAAGATTTTCGAATCAGCCATGTGGACTTGCATCAAAGGTTGGCGAATCAGCCATGTGCACATGTGGACTTGCACGAAACAACAGATCACATCCTCCAGTACAAACTTTATGGCCACTAAGTGAATTACAACAGTGAAGTTCATACTGGAAACAACATTGCAGATAGAATTGCTTTATTTCATACTGGAGACAACATTGCAGATAGAGTTCCTTTATTTCATACTGGAGACAACATTGCAGATAGAGTTCCTTTATTTCATACTGGAGACAACATTGCAGATAGAGTTCCTTTATTTCATACTGGAGACACCATTGCAGAGTTCATTTATTTCATACTGGAGACAACATTGCAGATAGAGTTCATTTATTTCATACTGGAGACAACATTGCAGATAGTGTTCATTTATTTCAAGCAAACCAATTTAGGGGGGCTATGTGTATGTGGTGTGTGAGATGGATAAATGTACTGTCTGAGGTGGATCAATGTTCTGTGTAAGATATGTATATGCATCACATACTCTACAACTGTTTGTTTGTTTGTCAGCCGTCATGATGGCCGCTAGGTCCCTGATACAGTTGTTCAGGAAAACCAATCCGGAGTTGCTACACAGGAGGGACAGGGTGAGTACAGCTGCACTGGACAGCTAGTAGTCAGTGTGAGGATAGCTGTATTGGAAGTGAGGGGTCAGTGTAGTACAGCTGTATTGGAAGTGAGGGGTCAGTGTAGTACAGCTGTATTGGAAGTGAGGGGTCAGTGTAAGTACAGCTGCATTGGAAGTGAGGGGTCAGTGTGAGTACAGCTGCATTGGAAGTGAGGGGTCAGTGTGAGTACAGCTGCATTGGAAGTGAGGGGTCAGTGTAGTACAGCTGCATTGGAAGTGAGGGGTCAGTGTAGTACAGCTGTATTGTAAGTGAGGGGTCAGTGTAGTACAGCTGCATTGGAAGTGAGAGGTCAGTGTGAGTACAGCTGTATTGTAAGTGAGAGGTCAGTGTGAGTACAGCTGTATTGTAAGTGAGGGGTCAGTGTAGTACAGCTGTATTGTAAGTGAGGGGTCAGTGTGAATACAGCTGTATTGGAAGTGAGGGGTCAGTGTGAATACAGCTGTATTGGAAGTGAGGGGTCATTGTAAGTACAGCTGCAGAGTGAGTGGTCAGTGTAAGTACAGCTGCAGAGTGAGTGGTCAGTGTAAGTACAGCTGCAGAGTGAGTGGTCAGTGTAAGTACAGCTGCATTTGAAGTGAGGGGTCAGTGTAAGTACAGCTGCAGAGTGAGTGGTCAGTGTAAGTACAGCTGCAGAGTGAGTGGTCAGTGTTAACACAGCTGCATTGGAAGTGAGGGGTCAGTGTAAGTACAGCTGCAGAGTGAGTGGTCAGTGTAAGTACAGCTGCATTGTAAGTGAGGGGTCAGTGTAAGTACAGCTGCAGAGTGAGGGGTCAGTGTAAGTACAGTTGCAGAGTGAGTGGTCAGTGTAAGTACAGCTGCAGAGTGAGTGGTCAGTGTAAGTACAGCTGCAGAGTGAGTGGTCAGTGTAAGTACAGCTGCAGAGTGAGTGGTCAGTGTAGTACAGCTGCATTGTAAGTGAGGGGTCAGTGTGAGTACAGCTGCATTGGAAGTGAGGGGTCTGTTAATAAAGCCACACTGTGAGTTAGTGGACTAACGGAGCTATCACCCATCTGGGGGTGGGGGGATTAATGGGAAGAACTGTTCCCAGTCCGTATCCCAAAATTTGATTGACGAACCTACCACGGCTGCCACTTTAATCATAGTTATTTGTAGTCACCATGTTATTACATACCAAAATAATTAAAAAAATAATAATAATGCTTGAGTCGTCCGTTGCTGAAAAGTAGCAGGAACTGAAAAGAAAATTTACAATTGATAAAAAAAAATTAAAAAAAAAAAATAAATGTTTATCAGGGCACAAAATACACAGATCACCGACCACGCTGTCACGGTAAACAAAGCAACGGGATAACGCAGAATGCAGCAAACACACCTAAAAGCACGTGCCAGTGCTTATAATCATATGTAAATGGATCAGTTTAATCTAAATATAGCTAATGTATATTGCCCTTCAGCCAATAAAATACGGGGGTAACAGAAATCTGTAAGAAAAGTCCAAAAACGGCTTGGGACGTCCATAGCACAGGGGGTCAAGAAAAAAAATAACGTCCAAAGACGGGCGTAGCAGCGTACGGGAAATCGGGAAAAGACGTCCATAGCAGCGAAAGGGTTAATAAAGCCACACTGTGAGTTAGTGGTCAATTTAAGTATAGCTGCAGAGGAGTGAGTGGTCAGTGTTAATACCGCTCCAATGAGTGTGAATGATCAATGTGAGTACAGTTCCATTGAAAGTGAGTACAGCTGCACTGGGAGTGAGTGGTCAGTGTGACTAGCTCCATTGGGAGTGAGTGGTCAGTGTGACTAGCTCCATTGGGAGTGAGTGGTCAGTGTGACTGTAGCCCCACTGGGAGTGAGTGGTCAGTGTTATCTTCTCCAGCTCTACCCACACAGTTACCGTGTATGTTGTTTTTGCAGGGGCGGCCGACAGAGGCTCTGAAGGAACTAACTGTGATGCATTATGGGCAGCAGAATGTGAAATCTTTTATTGTCGGTGCTGAGGTGATCTCTGAAATAGAAAACAAGACTGAAAGCACAGAGCAGGAACAAGGTGCGTTCTGTTTCAATACTAACAGACATCTTTCTGTTCTATGTTCTGTTCCTGTTTTTTGCAACACACACACACACACACACATCTATTTCATGTTATGTGCAACACACACAGGTATATCTGTTTCATGTTCTGTGCAACACTCACAAGCATACCTGTTTCATGTTCTGTGCAACATACACAAGCATATCTGTTTCATGTTCTGTGCAACACACACAGGCATATCTGTTTCATGTTCTGTGCAACATACACAGGCATATCTGTTTCATGTTCTGTGCAACACACACAGGCATATCTGTTTCATGTTCTGTGCAACATACACAGGCATATCTGTTTCATGTTCTGTGAAACACACACAGGCATATCTGTTTCATGTTCCGTGCAACACACACAGGCATATCTGTTTCATGTTCTGTGCAACATACACAGGCATATCTGTTTCATGTTCTGTGCAACATACACAGGCATATCTGTTTCATGTTCTGTGCAACACACACAGGCATATCTGTTTCATGTTCTGTGCAACGCAGACAGACACATCTGTTGCTAGGAGGCTGTTGAAATGGTGTCAGGGGCACGATTGGCACTTATAATGAGGAAAGGAAAGAAATGGGAACTAGAGGCCTCACAGCCATTGTAAACATTGACAAGAACAAACACACACACTGAGTTTTTTAAAGGATGATAAGATATTGCTGAAGTAACCAGTGCACTTCCAACAATGGCCATCTGGGCACTGTGATATTGCTGAAGTAACGAGTGCACTTCCAACAATGGCCATCTGGGCACTGTTGTGATGTTGCTGCACCATTATGTGGGTAGACTGAGACCGTGACCCGTTGATTGTGTCTGCCGTATTGCCACATGTCTCACCCACATACATACATGCACACTAACACAGATATGTACACATACAATTTATATTATCTTGTTGCTGTTCTACAGATGAGTGGGAGTCTTGCAGCGAGGAGGATGATGATAGTGACAATGAGTGGGTTGACGTATACCACTCTTCAGATGAGGAAGCCAATAAGGTGTGCAGCATGCTCAATCTGGTTCTTTTGATCTTAGGCATTTGTCATTGGCAGGTGATGTTGTGTAACAAGTGAAACCGTGGATCTCTCTGCTGGTCATGTTGTGTAACAAGTGAAACCATGGATCTATCTGCTGGTCATGTTGTGGAACAAGGGAAACCGTGGATCTCTCTGCTGGTCATGTTGTGTAACAAGTGAAACCGTGGATCTCTCTGCTGGTCATGTTGTGGAACAAGGGAAACCGTGGATCTGTCTGCTGGTCATGTTGTGTAACAAGTGAAACCGTGGATCTGTCTGCTGGTCATGTTGTGTAACAAGTGAAACCGTGGATCTGTCCGCTGGTCATGTTGTGGAACAAGTGAAACCGTGGATCTGTCCGCTGGTCATGTCGTGGAACAAGTGAAACCGTGGATCTGTCTGCTGGTCATGTTGTGGAACAAGGGAAACCGTGGATCTGTCTGCTGGTCATGTTGTGTAACAAGTGAAACCGTGGATCTGTCTGCTGGTCATGTTGTGTAACAAGTGAAACCGTGGATCTGTCCGCTGGTCATGTTGTGTAACAAGTGAAACCGTGGATCTGTCCGCTGGTCATGTTGTGGAACAAGTGAAACCATGGATCTATCTGCTGGTCATGTTATGTAAAAGTTTGATGTGATCGGTTGTGTTGTGTGAAAGTTTGCTTTGATCTATTTTGTTGTGTGAAAGTTTGCTTTGGTCTATTTCGTTGTGTGAAAGTTTGATGTGATTTATTGAATTGTTTAAAAGTTTGCTATGATCTGTTGTGTTCTGTGAAAGTTTGCTGTGATCTGTTGTGTTGTGTCAAAAGTTTCATGTGATGTTTTGTTGTGTCAAAAGTTTCATGTGATCTGTTGTGTTGTGTCAAAAGTTTCATGTGATCTGTTGTGTTGTGTCAAATGTTTACTGTGATCTGTTGTGTTCTGTGAAAGTTTCATGTGATCTGTTGTGTAAAAGTTTCATGTGATCTGTTGTGTCAAAAGTTTACTGTGATCTCTTGTGTTGTGTCAAAAGTTTCATGTGATCTCTTGTGTTGTGTCAAAAGTTTCATGTGATCTCTTGTGTTGTGTCAAAAGTTTCCTGTGATCTGTTGTGTTGTGTCAAAAGTTTCCTGTGATCTTTTGTGTTGTGTCAAAGTTTCATGTGATCTGTTGTGTTGTGTCAAAAGTTTACTGTGATCTGTTGTGTTCTGTGAAAGTTTCATGTGATGTTGTGTTGTGTCAAAGTTTCATATTATCTGTTGTGTCAAAAGTTTCATGTGATCTGTTGCGTCAAAAGTTTCATGTGATCTCTTGTGTTGTGTCAAAAGTTTCATGTGATCTCTTGTGTTGTGTCAAAAGTTTCATGTGATCTCTTGTGTTGTGTCAAAAGTTTCATGTGATCTCTTGTGTTGTGTAAATAGTTTTATGTGATCTCTTGTGTTCTGTGAAAGTTTACTGAGATCTGTTGTTGTGTCAAAGTTTCATGTGATCTGTTGTGTTATGTCAAAAGTTTCCTGTGATCTGTTGTGTTGTGTCAAAAGTTTCATGTGATCTGTTGTGTCAAAGTTTCATGTGATCTCTTGTGTTGTGTCAAAAGTTTCATGTGATCTCTTGTGTTCTGTGAAAGTTTACTGAGATCTGTTGTTGTGTCAAAGTTTCATGTGATCTGTTGTGTTGTGTCAAAAGTTTACTGTGATCTGTTGTGTTGTGTCAAAAGTTTACTGTGGTCTGTTGTGTTCTGTGAAAGTTTCATGTGATGTTGTGTTATGTCAAAGTTTCATGTGATCTCTTGTGTTGTGTCAAAGTTTCATGTGATCTCTTGTGTTGTGTCAAAGTTTCATGTGATCTGTTGTGTTGTGTCGAAGTTTCATGTGATCTGTTGTGTTGTGTCAAAGTTTCATGTTATCTGTTGTGACAAAAGTTTCATGTGATATGTTGTGTCAAAAGTTTCATGTGATCTGTTGTGTCAAAAGCTTCATGTGATCTGTTGTGTTGTGTCAAAAGCTTCATGTGATCTGTTGTGTTGTGTCAAAAGTTTCATGTGATCTGTTGTGTCAAAAGTTTCATGTGATTTGTTGTGTTGTGTCAAAAGCTTCATGTGATCTGTTGTGTTGTGTCAAAAGCTTCATGTGATCTGTTGTGTTGTGTCAAAAGTTTTATGTGATCTGTTGTGTTGTGTGCCTTGTGTTGCCCACTGGGAGTTGTCATTTTTTTTGTGTCCCTAAGAATGTTGGTCTATTCTTACTTCAGGAAGAAAATCAAGTAACAGCAGAAGAGGCGGAGGAGAAAGAGAAGCTGGCGGAGATCATATCCAGCACCCGGATCATGACTGATGATGACTTCAAGGTCATCACTGCCAGACAGATCGCCAAGGAGATTGGGTCATCAGGGTCATCTGCTCGCAAGGCCAAAAAAAGGAAGCAGCAGGAGGCATTCGAGGGCAGGTAAGTTGTGTCACACCTGGTGAGGTTAGGCTAATTGGGGTTGAGTTGTGACACAGCTGGTGAGGTTAGGCTGAGGCCGGGTGAGTTGTGTCACACCTGGGGAGGTTAGGCTGAGGGCAGGTGAGTTGTGTCACACCTGGTGAGGTTAGGCTGAGGGCAGGTGAGTTGTGTCACACCTGGGGAGGTTAGGCTGAGGGCAGGTGAGTTGTGTCACACCTGGTGAGGTTAAAATGCGGGCAGGTGAGTTGTGTCACATCTGGTGAGGTTAGGCTAATTGGGGTTGAGTTGTGTCACACCTTGTGAGGTTAGGCTGAGGGCAGGTGAGTTGTGTCACACCTTGCCATTTTTTGGGGTGATAACAGGTGTGTCACACCTTGTCAGATCTGGGCTAAGGGCAGGTGGGGTCAGAAATTGTAGCTCTGTTCTCTCAGAAGCATATATGTATCTTGTGTAGATGCAGCTTATATAGAATTGTTTGTGTGAAGACACAACATTCATGGTCAGAGATACATCTTATTGTTGTATTTGTGAATTCATGGTGAACACCCTATTTAACTGTTGTATGTGTGAACAACTAATCTAACTGTTGTATGTGTAAATAACCTATATGTTGTGTGTGCGAACAATTTATCTAACTTGTGTGTGTGAACAACTGATCCAACTTGTGTGTGAACAACCTATTTAGGTGACCAATCTATCTGTTGAGTGTGAACAGCTGATCTAACTTGTGTGTGTGAACAACCTATCTAGCTGTATGTGTGAACAACTGATCTGTTGTATGTGTGTGAACAACCGATCTGTTGTATGTGTGTGAACAACCGATCTGTTGTATGTGTGTGAACAACCGATCTGTTGTATGTGTGTGAACAACCGATCTGTTGTATGTGTGTGAACAACCGATCTGTTGTATGTGTGTGTGAACAACCGATCTGTTGTATGTGTGTGTGAACAACCGATCTGTTGTATGTGTGTGAACAACCGATCTGTTGTATGTGTGTGAACAACCGATCTGTTGTATGTGTGTGAACAACCGATCTGTTGTATGTGTGTGAACAACCGATCTGTTGTATGTGTGTGAACAACCGATCTAATTACTGCCTGTGTGAACACGGCCCTTGCTGAGTAATGTATTCTAGATAAGTGTAGGTTTTATTTGTTGCCTTTGTGTTGAATGAACTTTGACCTTTACTGCACCTGCAGCCATGACCTGCCCAGACTTGGTGACATTGAGCTGGTACACAAGAAGAAAGCTCATGACAGGGAGTCCAGGCTGGCTACTGTCATGGTGAGTTGTTGTTGTTGTTGTCGTCCTCAGTGGTGATGATGATGATATCTTGTTGTATGTCATGGTGAGTTGTTGTTGTTGTCGTCCTCAGTGGTGATGATGATGATATCTTGTTGTATGTCATGGTGAGTTGTTGTCCTCAGTGGTGATGATGATGATATCTTGTTGTATGTCATGGTGAGTTGTTGTTGTTGTCGTCCTCAGTGGTGATGATGATGATATCTTGTTGTTTGTCATGGTGAGTTGTTGTTGTTGTCGTCCTCAGTGGTGATGATGATGATATCTTGTTGTATGTCATGGTGAGTTGTTGTCATTCTCAGTGGTGATGATGATGATATCTTGTTGTATGTCATGATGAGTTGTTATTGTCATTTTCAGTGGTGATGATGATATCTTGTTGTATGTCATGGTGAGTTGTTGTCATCCTCAGTGGTGATGATGATGATGATATCTTGTTGTATGTCATGGTGAGTTGTTGTTGTCCTCAGTGGTGATGATGATGATATCTTGTTGTATGTCATGGTGAGTTGTTGTTGTCGTCCTCAGTGGTAATGATGATGATATCTTGTTGTATGTCATGGTGAGTTGTTGTCCTCAGTGGTGATGATGATGATATCTTGTTGTATGTCATGGTGAGTTGTTGTTGTTGTCGTCCTCAGTGGTGATGATGATGATATCTTGTTTTATGTCATGGTGAGTTGTTGTTGTCATTCCCAGTGGTGATGATGATATCTTGTTGTATGTCATGATGAGTTGTTATTGTCATTCTCAGTGGTGATGATGATATCTTGTTGTATGTCATGGTGAGTTGTTGTCATCCTCAGTGGTGATGATGATGATGATATCTTGTTGTATGTCATGGTGAGTTGTTGTTGTCCTCAGTGGTGATGATGATGATATCTTGTTGTATGTCATGGTGAGTTGTTGTTGTCGTCCCCAGTGGTGATGATGATGATATCTTGTTGTATGTCATGGTGAGTTGTTGTTGTTGTCCTCAGTGGTGATGATGATGATGATATCTTGTTGTATGTCATGGTGAGTTGTTGTTGTTGTCCTCAGTGGTGATGATGATGATATCTTGTTGTATGTCATGGTGAGTTGTTGTCATCCTCAGTGGTGATGATGAGGATATCTTGTTGTATGTCATGGTGAGTTGTTGTTGTCGTCCTCAGTGGTGATGATGATGATATCTTGTTGTATGTCATGGTGAGTTGTTGTCCTCAGTGGTGATGATGATGATATCTTGTTGTATGTCATGGTGAGTTGTTGTTGTTGTCGTCCTCAGTGGTGATGATGATGATATCTTGTTGTTTGTCATGGTGAGTTGTTGTCATTCTCAGTGGTGATGATGATGATATCTTGTTGTATGTCATGATGAGTTGTTATTGTCATTTTCAGTGGTGATGATGATATCTTGTTGTATGTCATGGTGAGTTGTTGTCATCCTCAGTGGTGATGATGATATCTTGTATGTCATGGTGAGTTGTTGTTGTCCTCAGTGGTGATGATGATGATATCTTGTTGTATGTCATGGTGAGTTGTTGTTGTCGTCCTCAGTGGTAATGATGATATCTTGTTGTATGTCATGGTGAGTTGTTGTCCTCAGTGGTGATGATGATGATATCTTGTTGTATGTCATGGTGAGTTGTTGTTGTTGTCGTCCTCAGTGGTGATGATGATGATATCTTGTTGTGTGTCATGGTGAGTTGTTGTTGTCATTCCCAGTGGTGATGATGATATCTTGTTGTATGTCATGATGAGTTGTTATTGTCATTCTCAGTGGTGATGATGATATCTTGTTGTATGTCATGGTGAGTTGTTGTCATCCTCAGTGGTGATGATGATGATGATATCTTGTTGTATGTCATGGTGAGTTGTTGTTGTCCTCAGTGGTGATGATGATGATATCTTGTTGTATGTCATGGTGAGTTGTTGTTGTCGTCCCCAGTGGTGATGTTGATGATATCTTGTTGTATGTCATGGTGAGTTGTTGTTGTCCTCAGTGGTGATGATGATGATGATATCTTGCTGTATGTCATGGTGAGTTGTTGTTGTTGTCCTCAGTGGTGATGATGATGATATCTTGTTATATGTCATGGTGAGTTGTTGTTGTTGTTGTCGTCCTCAGTGGTGATGATGATGATGATATCTTGTTGTATGTCATGGTGAGTTGTTGTCGTCCTCAGTGGTGATGATGAGGATATCTTGTTGTATGTCATGGTGAGTTGTTGTTGTCGTCCTCAGTGGTGATGATGATAATATCTTGTTGTATGTCATGGTGAGTTGTTGTCATTCTCAGTGGTGATGATGATGATGATATCTTGTTGTATGTCATGGTGAGTTGTTGTTGTTGTCCTCAGTGGTGATGATGATGATATCTTGCTGTAGGGACTGTCGTTATAAGTGATGATGTTGGTAGAACACTGAGCATTTCAGCACAGTATGTACACTGCTGCACAGGTAGAATGCTGAATGTATCAGTACAGTACACAAAGTCTGCAGCAGTGGTAGAATGCTGAATGTATCAGTACAGTACACAGTCTGCAGCAGTGGTAGAATGCTGAATGTATCAGTACAGTACACAAAGTCTGCAGCAGTGGTAGAATGCTGAAAGTATCAGTACAGTACACAAAGTCTGCAGCAGTGGTAGAATGCTCAGTGTATCAGTACAGTACACAAAGTCTGCAGCAGTGGTAGAATGCTGAAAGTATCAGTACAGTACTGTCCTTCTCTTTGTTCACCCTAATCTGAGGAGATTAGGCATTGACGACTCTACCCAGAGATATCCAAGTGACCCTGCCACCTTTGGCTGTAGTTGGCCCTATAGATATTGAATGATGTTAATGTGTTTTTCTGTATGTTGTCTGGTGTGTTTTTCTGTATGTTGTCTGGTGTGTTTTTCTGTATGTTGTCTGGTGTGTTTTTCTGTATGTTGTCTGGTGTGTTTTTCTGTATGTTGTCTGGTATGTTTATGTTGTCTAATGTGTTTTCTGACATGTGCTTGCTATCTATGGTTGCAGGCGGGCAGAGAGGGTCGAGAGAAGTTTTCCCACGGACCCCAGAAGATGAACCCATTTGCCAGCACCACCAACAAGGAGAAGATGAAGAAGAAAGTCTTTACCATGGTCAAACACAAGATCCGCAGGAAGAAAGTTAAGCGTTCATTTAAGGAGAAACAGGTGGGTGTCTCCAGGTGTTTGCTTGTTGTCTGGAGAAACATGTGGGTGTCTCCAGGTGTTTGCTTGTTGTCTGGAGAAACATGTGGGTGTCTCCAGGTGTTTGCTTGATGTCTGGAGAAACATGTGGGTGTCTCCAGGTGTTTGCTTGATGTCTGGAGAAACAGGTGGGTGTCTCCAGGTGTTTGCTTGATGTCTTGAGCAATAGGTGGGTGTCTTCAGGTGTTTGCTTGATGTCTGGAGAAACATGTGGGTGTCTCCAGGTGTTTGCTTGTTGTCTAGATGGGTTCCTCAAGAGGTTTGTTTGGAGAAAGAAATAGGTGGATGTCTGTAGGTAATGTTATGGTATCAGAATCGATGTTACTGCTTTGGCATTTTGTTGTCTTGAGAAAAAATGTGTTGGTGCCTCAGGATGTACAGTTTTGGCAATCCCCTCCAGAAATCAGATTTGACAACAAACTCCAGATGTGCCTGGTACAGTATTTTGACACTGCACCACCTCCAGATGTGTCTGGTACAGTATTTTGACACTGCACCACCTCCAGATGTGTCTAGTACAGTATTTTGACACTGCACCACCTCCAGATGTGTCTAGTACAGTATTTTGACACTGCACCACTTACAGATGTGTCTAGTACAGTATTTTGACACTGCACCACCTCCAGATGTGCTTGGTACAGTATTTTGACAGTGCCCCACCTCCAGAGGTGCTTGGTACAGTATTTTGACACTGCACCACCTCCAGATGTGTCTGGTACAGTATTTTGACACTGCACCACCTTCAGATGTGTCTAGTCCAGTATTTTGACACTGCACCACCTTCAGATGTGCTTGGTACAGTATTTTGACACTGCACCACCTCCAGATGTGTCTAGTACAGTATTTTGACACTGCACCACCTTCAGATGTGTCTAGTACAGTATTTTGACACTGCACCACCTTCAGATGTGTCTAGTACAGTATTTTGACACTGCACCACCTCCAGTTGTGTCTGGTACAGTATTTTGACACTGCACCACCTCCAGATGTGCTTGGTACAGTATTTTGATACTGCACCACCTCCAGATGTGCTTGGTACAGTATTTTGACACTGCACCACCTCCAGATGTGTCTGGTACAGTATTTTGACACTGCACCACCTCCAGATGTGTCTGGTACAGTATTTTGACACTGCACCACCTTCAGATGTGTCTAGTCCAGTATTTTGACACTGCACCACCTTCAGATGTGCTTGGTACAGTATTTTGACACTGCACCACCTCCAGATGTGTCTAGTACAGTATTTTGACACTGCACCACCTTCAGATGTGTCTAGTACAGTATTTTGACACTGCACCACCTCCAGATGTGTCTGGTACAGTATTTTGACACTGCACCACCTCCAGATGTGCTTGGTACAGTATTTTGACACTGCACCACCTCCAGATGTGCTTGGTACAGTATTTTGATACTGCACCACCTCCAGATGTGTCTAGTACAGTATTTTGACACTGCACCATCTCCAGAAGTGTATAGTACAGTATTTTGACACTGCACCACCTCCAGATGTGTCTAGTACATTATTTTGACACTGCACCACCTCCAGATGTGCTTGGTACAGTATTTTGACACTGCACCACCTCCAGATGTGCTTGGTACAGTATTTTGACACTGCACCACCTCCAGATGTGTCTAGTACAGTATTTTGATACTGCACCACCTTCAGATGTGTCTAGTACAGTATTTTGACACTGCACCACCTCCAGATGTGTCTGGTACAGTATTTTGACACTGCACCACCTCCAGATGTGCTTGGTACAGTATTTTTGATACTGCACCACCTCCAGATGTGTCTAGTACAGTATTTTGACACTGCACCATCTCCAGAAGTGTATAGTACAGTATTTTGACACTGCACCACTTACAGATGTGTCTAGTACAGTATTTTGACACTGCACCACCTCCAGATGTGCTTGGTACAGTATTTTGACAGTGCCCCACCTCCAGATGTGCTTGGTACAGTATTTTGACACTGCACCACCTCCAGATGTGTCTGGTACAGTATTTTGACACTGCACCACCTCCAGATGTGTCTGGTACAGTATTTTGACACTGCACCACCTTCAGATGTGTCTAGTCCAGTATTTTGACACTGCACCACCTTCAGATGTGCTTGGTACAGTATTTTGACACTGCACCACCTCCAGATGTGTCTAGTACAGTATTTTGACACTGCACCACCTTCAGATGTGTCTAGTACAGTATTTTGACACTGCACCACTTTCAGATGTGTCTGGTACAGTATTTTGACACTGCACCACCTCCAGATGTGCTTGGTACAGTATTTTGATACTGCACCACCTCCAGATGTGTCTAGTACAGTATTTTGACACTGCACCATCTCCAGAAGTGTATAGTACAGTATTTTGACACTGCACCACTTACAGATGTGTCTAGTACAGTATTTTGACACTGCACCACCTCCAGATGTGCTTGGTACAGTATTTTGACACTGCACCACCTCCAGATGTGTCTAGTACAGTATTTTGACACTGCACCACCTTCAGATGTGTCTAGTACAGTATTTTGACACTGCACCACCTCCAGATGTGTCTGGTACAGTATTTTGACACTGCACCACCTCCAGATGTGCTTGGTACAGTATTTTGATACTGCACCACCTCCAGATGTGTCTAGTACAGTATTTTGACACTGCACCATCTCCAAAAGTGTATAGTACAGTATTTTGACACTGCACCACTTACAGATGTGTCTAGTACAGTATTTTGACACTGCACCACCTCCAGATGTGCTTGGTACAGTATTTTGACAGTGCCCCACCTCCAGATGTGCTTGGTACAGTATTTTGACACTGCACCACCTCCAGATGTGTCTGGTACAGTATTTTGACACTGCACCACCTCCAGATGTGTCTGGTACAGTATTTTGACACTGCACCACCTTCAGATGTGTCTAGTCCAGTATTTTGACACTGCACCACCTTCAGATGTGCTTGGTACAGTATTTTGACACTGCACCACCTCCAGATGTGTCTAGTACAGTATTTTGACACTGCACCACCTTCAGATGTGTCTAGTACAGTATTTTGACACTGCACCACCTTCAGATGTGTCTGGTACAGTATTTTGACACTGCACCACCTCCAGATGTGCTTGGTACAGTATTTTGATACTGCACCACCTCCAGATGTGTCTAGTACAGTATTTTGACACTGCACCATCTCCAGAAGTGTATAGTACAGTATTTTGACACTGCACCACTTACAGATGTGTCTAGTACAGTATTTTGACACTGCACCACCTCCAGATGTGCTTGGTACAGTATTTTGACAGTGCCCCACCTCCAGATGTGCTTGGTACAGTATTTTGACACTGCACCACCTCCAGATGTGTCTGGTACAGTATTTTGACACTGCACCACCTCCAGATGTGTCTGGTACAGTATTTTGACACTGCACCACCTTCAGATGTGTCTAGTCCAGTATTTTGACACTGCACCACCTTCAGATGTGCTTGGTACAGTATTTTGACACTGCACCACCTCCAGATGTGTCTAGTACAGTATTTTGACACTGCACCACCTTCAGATGTGTCTAGTACAGTATTTTGACACTGCACCACCTTCAGATGTGTCTAGTACAGTATTTTGACACTGCACCACCTCCAGATGTGTCTGGTACAGTATTTTGACACTGCACCACCTCCAGATGTGCTTGGTACAGTATTTTGATACTGCACCACCTCCAGATGTGTCTAGTACAGTATTTTGACACTGCACCATCTCCAGAAGTGTATAGTACAGTATATTGACACTGCACCACCTCCAGATGTGTCTAGTACATATTTTTGACACTGCACCACCTCCAGATGTGCTTGGTACAGTATTTTGACACTGCACCACCTCCAGATGTGCTTGGTACAGTATTTTGACACTGCACCACCTCCAGATGTGTCTAGTACAGTATTTTGACACTGCACCACCTTCAGATGTGTCTAGTACAGTATTTTGACACTGCACCACCTTCAGATGTGTCTAGTACAGTATTTTGACACTGCACCACCTCCAGATGTGTCTGGTACAGTATTTTGACACTGCACCACCTCCAGATGTGTCTGGTACAGTATTTTGACACTGCACCACCTCCAGATGTGCTTGGTACAGTATTTTGACACTGCACCATCTCCAGAAGTGTATAGTACAGTATTTTGACACTGCACCACTTACAGATGTGTCTAGTACCGTATTTTGACACTGCACCACCTCCAGATGTGCTTGGTACAGTATTTTGACAGTGCCCCACCTCCAGATGTGCTTGGTACAGTATTTTGACACTGCACCACCTCCAGATGTGTCTGGTACAGTATTTTGACACTGCACCACCTCCAGATGTGTCTGGTACAGTATTTTGACACTGCACCACCTTCAGATGTGTCTAGTCCAGTATTTTGACACTGCACCACCTTCAGATGTGCTTGGTACAGTATTTTGACACTGCACCACCTCCAGATGTGTCTAGTACAGTATTTTGACACTGCACCACCTTCAGATGTGTCTAGTACAGTATTTTGACACTGCACCACCTTCAGATGTGTCTAGTACAGTATTTTGACACTGCACCACCTCCAGATGTGCTTGGTACAGTATTTTGATACTGCACCACCTCCAGATGTGTCTAGTACAGTATTTTGACACTGCACCATCTCCAGAAGTGTATAGTACAGTATTTTGACACTGCACCACCTCCAGATGTGCTTGGTACAGTATTTTGACACTGCACCACCTCCAGATGTGCTTGGTACAGTATTTTGACACTGCACCACCTCCAGATGTGCTTGGTACAGTATTTTGACACTGCACCACCTCCAGATGTGTCTAGTACAGTATTTTGACACTGCACCACCTTCAGATGTGTCTAGTACAGTATTTTTACACTGCACCACCTTCAGATGTGTCTAGTACAGTATTTTGACACTGCACCACCTCCAGATGTGTCTAGTACAGTA